CAAGAGGTTTGTTCCGACGAGCAAACCGACGACAGAGTTGAGCTCCGTCCCAATTCCCAGCATTTGCGACGCGATTCAGGAAAATTGAATCCCATGAACGTTCAATTAACCTCTAACGAACGCTCCGGAGGGATACAGTGCTACAAATGCTATGAAAGAGGGCACAAAGCCAACCAGTGTCCTAACTTGAAGACTCTAGTGATCAGAGACGGCAAGTTTCTAACTAACAACGAGTAAAACTCGAGTGATAGTGACGTCTACGAGAAAATTGAAGCCTACCCTGCACCGGGAAACCTCATGACTGTTAGTCGTCGAGCTCTTACTATGGATACTCAACCAGACTACAGCCAAAGGAAGAATATGTTCCATTCTTGTTGTTTGGTTGCCGGAAAAGTATTGTCAGTAATCGTCGACGGAGGCAGTTGTACCAACGTCGTTAGTCAGGATGCAGTGGAAAAGCTTGGACTGACGATGACAAGACAGCCAGGACCATACAGCCTACACTGGCTCAACGATTATGGTGCAATTCGTGTGACAAGACAAGCGAAGGTCAGTTTTGAGATTGGAGCATACATAGATGAGCTGGAATTCGATGTTGCTCCAATGCAGGCAACCCACTTGCTTCTCGGAAGACCATGGAAGTTTGATCATGGCGTTTGTCACTGCGGTGGCACAAATTGCTACGAGGTTCGTCACCACGATAAGAAAATCTAGCAGTGCTTCTCCGATCCAAAACTACCCACCTAGGGGTTATCAAGTGGTATCAGAGCCTAGTTAGAGCCGATCGACGACAACTCGAGGTTGGTCGACGATGAACCAAAGGGAAGCCAGACGAAGGATCCAGTACTACCACTCTCCTAACTCAACAACTTATGCTAACTGGGTATAAGCAATTCAGAGCGCCGCGATGTCGGCGCCCCTGTAAACTTTCGCGAAGCAGAGCAGGAGAGAGAGTGAATCCGTCAGAAAGTTTTGGGAAGATTCAACTCAAACTGAGGGTGCAGAAACATTCCTAGAGTCATCAGGAAGCTCTTCTCTAAACCAGAATGGGTCGACTATACCGCCATTGACGGATCCAATTCGTGCAAAATGTGCTCTGGAAATAGGCAAACTCGACCAAAAATCGAGTCTATTGGTTGGATCGATTGGGGATGATTAGACACGAATGGCTGGTGCCAAAGTGTTGGCAACAATCCTTGGAAGCTGTAGGAATGGTCCAATTGGGCTAGCAAGGCTTGAATCGAAAACGCCCATAGCAAATTCAAGCTTGCTGAGTTCTGAGTTTTTGAACTACGTCTACGGCGGGAAAGAAGATGGCAATGATTCGACGATGAAACAGATGATTCGAGCTACGAGACATGTCCAGAACTTCAATTCGAAGCAAGAGGAAGCTATTGGTGGCCTTGAATTGGACTGGGAATCCCTGAATGCGAAAGCCCCAATTTTGGACATGAAGAACACTATCCTCGTTTTAGAGAATTACGAGCTGGGGAAGCCATGTTTAGACCCCATTTGGGATCAATTCTGTGAGTCATATGAGTAAGGAAGGAGCCAAAGCTTTGAGTTCAAAGCTTTTTATGGGGGAGGGACTGATATGATCCCAAATTGGCCCTCAATCAAGCTGGAATTGATTGATTAAGAAGATGAAGAGTTTATCTTTCTATTGATGTGCTTTGGAGCTCAAGGTGAAGCCCAGAAGAGTGATTTCCAGGTCGATCAAGTTGCTAGCTCAACATGGGGAAAACTACCAAAATATTCTAAGTGTCGGAACGAGTTCGGGAAGGAACTTTGGAAGCCTCAATCGAAGGGATGGCATGAGAGTCGAGCTTCAAGAATCATACCTCATGAAAGTAGGTTTCTTCTACTACAACGACATGGCATTGGATGACTAGAATGAAGAATGGAAGGCCTCGAACGAAAGCTCCAAAGATCCTATCGAAGCTGAGTTTCTGTCTTTGGAAACCAGGCATTCCGAATCCTTATTGGATTAGGATTCCTTTACTGTTTTGTCAGCATAAAATATTTAAAATAATTCACAATTTCCACACATTCCCTAATTTTAAATTATTATAAATAAAAAAAATCATTAATACCTTAGTTAAACCAAAAATTAAAAATTAAAAAAATTAAATATTTATCAGATCTATCTGACTTGGCAGTGACGTGGCGCGTTGACCGTTAGTCAACGCGTTTGACCGTCCTAGTTAATGGTCAAACATCAGGTTTGGCCAAATTGTTTATTTTGGTGTATAGTTCGGGCCAGGATGTTATAGATCGAAAAGATTGGCCAGGATGTTTATTTTGGTCAAAGTTCAGGCCATACGAAAATATTAACCCTAATTCCTTTTCATTGTTGGTTTTGATTGTCTTTTATAATTTTAATTTGTTTAGGACTTCTCTAAGAGTAGTAAGATTGGCTAGGTCTATTTATGTAGCTTTGATTCGTTGTAATTTTCAGATTTCATAGAGTTGAATAACAAACTGAGAGTATGCGTTCATAAGGTTTTGTCTTGTGAATTGAGAGATCAACCTAGCCAAAGCTAGGTTTGATCTTGAGCTTTTATCATTCAAGTACTCACCTTGTTCGTGACCAAGCATCGACGACACCAATCGAGCCTCTTTCCCATCGTGAAAGTTGCACGAAAGGTTCCATCCCAAACACGAGCACATGACCCTGTTTTGTGTTCTTTCTCACCAAGTTTTGATTCAATCTTGAATTGAATCCTAGCTGTGCTTCTCTGATCCAAAACCACCCATCTAGGGGGTTATCACTAACACTACGCTCAGAGAAGACCTTGAAAACCAGAGAGAAGCGATTGGTCAGCCTCTCTTTATCCGGAACCATTTCTAGATCCCACTCTCCAGCTTAATTGTCAGATCATTAACACTCATGTTTTTAGTGGTTTCCTTCACAGGTTCAGCTCGCTCATGATAAAAGGGGGTTTCAGGTAGCTCAAAACAGAGAGGACTGTTGTGTGTTGAGGCTCTTCTGGTAGAGAATAAAGTGACCCTTTTTATAATTCTCCCTCTTTTCCTATCTACCCCCACTTCTTCATTCAATACAGTTGTTGGCTTGATTGGACTAGGTATTATGGCTATACTCGAATCCTTAGATCTCTTAGTTGTTTCTGCAGTTCTGAACGGCTCAAAGCACCCAATCATCCTCATTAATGGAGGCTTGAAAAGACTGGTATCTACATTTGGTAGATTTGTTGCTTTCAACTCAAAGTAGCATTAACTCCCATCCGCCTGATACATATAGCAGTAAATGTGCCATAACTCCTTTTTTGGTTGTTGAATAAGTTCTGTGCACACCCAGCTGGCTAAGATTAAACAACATCCCTCACATTCGCATTTACTCAGAAAACACACAATTCTCACACTAGAGGCAGCGTAAAACATATTCTTCATCAACAATATGGTCAAGAAGGATAACCAATCATCTTACTTTGGAGGAAGATCGGCATCGAGAATAGCTATGGGAAGCACAACGGTAGGAAAAGCCTTGTTCAAACAAAAAACTTTGCCACCTTAAGAAAAACAACAACAACACGTATGTACATCTACATTAACAAATGACAACTAATAGTGTTACTAATTATTAACGATGACCACAAATATTTTTAATAATAGTGTTACTAATAGTAGTTTAGCTGCATACTAATTATTAATGATGACAACTAAGTGTTGATATTTACTTGAGATACAGTTAATGGTGATCTAGAGTAAAGTGAATTCGAATTACTCATGATTAAATTGACAAAATCAAGAATTTCATATACTAACCATCAATGTCTTCGTTTGGAGGATGCCCACCCCGCTAACATCGGCTACATCCTTGAGGGGAGTAGGAACCCGTGGATTAATGGTATCAACAACATCGAGATTATTATCGGTGTCCATGCGCCCCCCAAAAAAGATTCATAATGCAAAGAAATAACATTTTCAATGCCACGGAACAACGTTAATACTCAACATAATTTTGTTAATAACTTGAAGGCGATTATGCTGGAATTATACCACATGCACAAACATGCATTATATGTTACTACCTAAACCACTACTATTACTAATGCCAATAAGTAGTATTGAAAACAAGCACATGAATGACTAATGAATAAATTAGTCACAAACATGCATTAGTCACAAACAATATTCCATCCAACTAGCCAGAAAGGCCTTGACTTGTCGCAATATCAGATAAACCTCGATGTATAGAGGCTGGCGATGACTAAAGTACCTAAATGCCGACGATGACTAACCCTGGCAGCAGTGGTAAGAAGACATCTTCACGACCGGAATCACAAATGACAAACGTCATCTCTGGAAGGTATGTAAGACAGTAGCCCGAGGTATTTTCAGCCTAGGCTTGGCCGACGTAGCTTACTAGGCATATGTGGAAGGGAGGGAAAACGCGGTGACGCCAAGTAAGGAGAATGACCGATAATTGCTAGGTCGAAGGCGGTAGAATGTTAGGAGAAAGACGTCTCCAAATAACAAAACCTAACGGGCGGCTTTATGACTTTAGAGTTTTTGAAGGGTTGGCGATTAGTCCTCCTTTAATTATGGAATTAGGTTTAATTGTAAATAAGTAAATACACAATTTACCTCAATAACCTTAACTACTTACTAACTAATAATTCCTCATTAACCACCTAATCCACTAACAACCAATAAGATTAGCTTAAACTTTTGGGATAAAACAGATGAACTCATCTAAAACACTCAAATCATGTACTTTGGTTTTTGTGGGTTTTGGAAATTCGATTCAACAAGAGTCTAGTGATTTTCAGTGCCCCACACTGTCAATAACACGATCACAATCACAAACACGAACACCAGATTTACGTGGTTTCCTCAACGTAGAACGTTGAGACTAGTCCACGACACAAGGCAGAGAGTTTTCGTATTATTTTCGGTGCAGCTTACAAGACAAAGGCGGCTAACTCAACATATATATCCTAGCCGCCAAAAAACCCTATGGGTTAATTACATTTTGATCCTCAACAATGCGTCTATTATGGCCCGGCTGCTTGGCTCGATGGATCCGGGTATCTCGCTGAGCTTGCAGGGGTTCTCTACGGCATCGGGAATGTGCAACATCTTACTTCTCTGTATTCGAAGGCTAGCGCCTCCAGGAAATTTGATGTCGAGCTGGATCTCGCTAATCTCAAGCAGGGGGATCGTTATGTGAGAACGTATTATCAGGCCCTTCAATAGCACAATTCGCATCTATTTGCCAAATTCCAGCCCCTTCTTTTGAGGTTGTCCAAGGTGAGGATGCTTTTATGAAACACCAGCCATAGAAACCCACACACTTTGGGAGGAACAACTCCTTTCCAAACAGCTGCAGTAGGGAAATCACATGTACCCTGAAAGCTTCTTTCGGCCAAGCACCTGTAAAAAGAATTCACAGAGAACGACGATTCTGGGTTTGGAGCCCACACGACTCTGCTAGGCCCAACCCCCATCATAGAAATAACTAAGTACATTAAAGTAAAATTAACTTAATTAAGGCGACGAATAAGGAATTTTAGGGCGACGAATAGCAATCTCTGTAAAGAAATTCTAATAATTTAATCCATTTTTTTTTTTCAAATAGTAATACTATTTGGAATCCCCTTGCCGGTCATACCAGCCCCACTAGACGGGAACAACAGAGTGTATGGTATCTTCACCGGTCCATGCCGATTCCTCAGCTTCTCCTCTCTGTTCCTCTCCACAATCCTCTCCTCAACTTCCGCCAATGCCTTCCCAAACCTCTCGAACGCCGCCGCCGCCTCTAAATCCACCGTCCACTCCGCTGTATCCCGCTGACCTAGATAAACCTCGTCCGAAGAATGCATTGACAAAACTTCAATCAGCGAGATCACCAGCAGCGTCTGAAGCTTCCCCGTGATCGTCCTCATGAAAGCCCTATCTGGGTTCTCTCTCAGCTCTTCGAATTCTGCCGTTCCTTCCACCGGCATGAATCGCCGGCTGTTGGTGGGGCGATTGGGCATGTAGCCGGAGTAAGTGTACTGCCCAAAATTCGTGGCCGCATGGAGCGCCGACGCAATCCATATCATCGTCGTGCACGATTCAATGAGCTCTTCTCGATTTTCCATCTTGGGCCACCAAGGCTCGTCTCTCTTATCCCCATGGCCGACCTCCACCAGTTCCTTCCACCACATTTGGAGCTCGGTATCACTCCGAATCGCCTCATCGGTTTTGTAGTACAGTGATGTATAATCGGATACCCAGTTTCTTATCACCGACCAGATGTCAAGCCCGTCGATGGCGTATGGGTAGTCTTTGATCAGAAGTCGGAGGCTGTGCTTGGACTCTGGGTGAGGAACCGCCATTCCCCTGCAAGGTGTTCGATAAAGTGCCTGGATGAGCTCAAGACTTGGTAATTTTTATCTTCCATTATCACTCGTCATCAATTTACCTTTTCTTGAGATCCTGAGGGAGGGCTTGCTCAGTGAAGTTCCAGTCTTTATATAGTGAAGAAGAGAATTCCATGGAGTACTTGGCAGGGTAGAACGCCAACTCCACCACTCCTCCGCCATTGATGAGGATCTGTCTCGCAATCGCGTTTATGCTCATAGTATCTCGGAAATGAGGGTGCAGAAGCTTGTAGATCGGGTGGATTAGGCTCAGCTGCCTGTTTGTTGCAATTACAAATGGCTCTATCACGGCATGAGTGTGCAAGAAGTGGGTAATGAGCTCGTGGGAGACAGAATCGTTTACTGAGACATATACTTTGGCCAACTGCCAAATGATTTCTTCAAGGCTTCCCTCCTTTTGATCTGCAGGTGGTGGAGTGTAAACTTTGTTAATGGCTCCGAACTGGTCTCCGTCGGGATGTGGCAAGCTCAACTCGATCGCCATTGGCTTCAATGTGTCATCGTTTTGCAGGTATAGGATTGTTCTTGTTGCATATGTTTTGGAGGTGGTGTTGTCGTTAATCCTTCTTAGGTATGGTATCACTGTGTCGTGGTGATCTAGTATGAATAGCTTGTTGCTCTTGATTGCCTGGAGAGCCAAACAAAACATTAAGTTCAGCTCATCAATATCTGGGACAAATTTGTAGAGGCCAGGTATGGAAGCTTACGAAGCTTATTGGGGCAATTTCATTATTATTGTTATTTTGCGGTTATGTGATTATTTTCATTTAATTAATTGTTGGGTCGATTTTAACTATGGTATAGGAATCGTATTAAGTATTAAAGTGCTTATGGTAGTTTAATTAGGATTAGTTACCAAGTCATGGTCGGATTAGTGACGAATTAGGTTTTATGATTCTATTATAAATATGTAGGTTGTCTTTGAGTTATTGAGGGGAATAAAAATCCTATTAGTTATTTTTTCATGAGTTTTGGGAGTAGAACTAAGATTCAATGCATCAAGATGTTAGGGGTATGTGGTGACTGGTGAGCATGTTGGTCCAATTTAGGGTGGATAATTCATTGAATATAACAGACTATTAGGTTCTATCGAATTACAGATTGGTCAGACTACAAGTCAATCAAGTTGTAGGCCATCGACAATTTCTGTCAACTCATTCAGTTGGATTGAAGAGGTTGAGTCAAATTTTCGCAGCAGAAGAGATACTTTACCTCAGCTACCGTCAATCCTTTCAGGAAATGCCTTATGTGTTCTTCACTAATCGAACTGTCTTGATTGCCATAGACTTTAGCATTCAGTTTGCTCCTCGGTGGAAACTCCTGAAGAAGACTAATGATAACAGGGTTGAGCCCAGCCAACATTTCCCTTGCAAATTCTTCATCAGTTCTCCAAGCAGTCCTACTCTCTGCTCAAAAATTATCATCAACACAAAGAAGAAATAAAGTGAGCTAACATCGATAAATCTCCGTTGTCATCCTGTATACATACTGTACTTATTTATGTACCTCTGATCACTTCTGGCAAAGGGTATTTCAGGTTGATGATATCTAAAGGATTATTCTTCCAGAGGTTATCGAGTGTAGGACCTCCAGAGAGCTTCACCCCTCCATCGTATAGCTTCAAAGCATCTTCAAATGAATCAAATTCATTCCCATTTCCAGAGCACAGATCCTCCAGTTCAGGCTTCACGATTTGAACGATGGCTTCGAGGTCGTTAAGAAGGAGATCCGACAGCTTCAGGTGACTAAATCTCTCGTCTCTTGGGACGTATATGTCTAGGGTCATCAGTAGTGATAGCCTGCTCTCTACATTTGGATCTGCTAAGACAATGCTCAGAAATCAAAATGAAATGTAAATAGGATGGTAAACATAGTTTCCATGCATCCAATTACCAATATTATATTTTGTTCATCCATTCTAATTCCTCACTTAAAATTTCATCTAAATATGTTGTTATTGAAAGTCACTCCGGCTAGTAAACACATATGTTACATTCTGTTGGAAATGAGATTTATCTACAGGTGGCAAATGGTTTCGATCAAATGGATTGGTAGATTTATCCATGAATCCAAATGACATCCAAATTTTAGACCGTTACGAAATTTTTGAAAGGTTTAGGTAATAAAATTTCCTGTTGAAAAATTCTAGGTGCCAAAACATTATTTTCTAAGGATATTTCTCTTCTAGAAAAATAAATTGTAAAATATAAAAAGTATAAAAACTAAAATGTAATTTGTCAACAATCCATGAATCCAATTCCAATCTATGAGTCCACTAATTCAATTGAATTTGGATCAAATAAATTGAATTTGAATGAATCGGATTTGTTGGATATTTTAATGGATGAATTGGATTTGATTTATGGATTTGGGTACTAATTGCCATCGGTAACTTTACCTGATTTAGATGGCGGCCTGCCAGTCCTTACCCTACGAGGGTAAGGGTACTCAGCCGATCCTCCCAGAGTTGGTCTGGCATTATCTGCATCGCCATCATCAGGATCCCATAAATCATTGTAGCAAGCATAATCATACACTCTGTCCCATTCCTTGAGCTCCCCTTGTCCATTTCCTCTCAAAGCAACCAGCTCTTCTTCTCTGTACTTCACCAATGGCAATGGCATCTCATGTGGCAGATACGACTGTTGGTCAAAAATAACAGGAGGAAAACGTTAACTTGCATGATCAGAGCAGAGGCAGCAAGTAGAAATCACAGTTAAATGCGTAAATGGTCACACAATTGAGCAAACCATGGAGTCATTTTAACCTAACAGAAGCACGAACAAACTACAGCGTTGAGCAAACCTTGTTTGTGAAGAAAACGCGGTCGTTGGTGTAGTTCTTGGCAGGATAAACCCAGGAGTTGCATGGGAAGTGGATTCTTCCTTCCCCAGGAACATCTTCAAGCGTGAGAGACTTTAACAAGAACTCGTTGTGGTGATTGTTCTTGATAACAAACCCTCCTGGAACTCCGATCTCTTCTTCTTCCCACTCGAAGCTGACATCGTAGGCTGTTTCGCCGGCTTTTAATGGAGCTATTGTTGTGATCCAGTCCTCCAAGTACGCTGCCTTCCCAAGCTTGCCCTTGTTGCCATTCTCTGCACAGAACAAAAGTACAATGGGAAATCGCTTCATTCATGGGTACTGGGTTCACAGTTTAGGGTAAATTTGGAGACATTAGATGATGTTGGTAAAAATGGAATCGGTTTCAACACATATATTACACCACACCAATCCAAGATGGTTCGTTCGTCGTGGGCAGTGGCGTAGCCAGGAATTATGCCAAGGTGGTGCAAAAAAAAAACATAACTTATATTAATTTTTTACAATGAACCACGACGTGTTTTCATAGTCTGAAAAGTATCTAAAATACATTCATCATCCAAACTATCAAGGATGTCACTCTCAATGTAACCAACCAAAAAATCATTCATGACATCATCACTCATTCTATTGCGAAGTGTGTTCTTCACATAGTTCATTGCAGAAAATGCTCTTTCAACGCTTGCCGTGGCAACAGGAAGCAACAATGCCAATTTCAGAAGTCTATAGACTAATGGAAACACCCGATGTTTCTTTGATGCAACCATTTCTCTAGAAAGTTCAGCAATTCCCTTTAATCCTGCAAACCTCTGAACTGTCTTCATATCATATATATAAGCATCAAGTTGATGAAGACCAAGATGTAAAATATCATCTTTGGAGAACTCAGTAGGATAAAAAGTAGCAAGCTTCACCAACTTGTCCTTGTCAAAGTCGACAAACAAATCGTCTGGATTTAAGCATGCCACTCAACATAGCAAATCTGTGTTTATCTCATCAAAGCGACTATTTAGCTCTTGTAACTGCATATCCACGGCTGTATAAAATAACTCAACCTTGTAGTGATGGAGATTGGTGATTTGCTGAGCATTTCTCCTTGGTCTCCCAAGTGGAAAGTATACATCATCCATGTTGACAATGGGAAGAGATTCCTTGTTGCAAAATGAAACCACACTATCAAGAAGAGAATCCCATCCTTTATCCCTCATTTCGTGTAATCTAAACTTTGACCCACGAACAAGGTGCATAGCATTCATTATGTCCTGGTCTTTCCTTTGCAAAGTTGAAGACAAATCACTGGTAATAGCAAGCACTTCAATCATCATTTTCATGGGTGTGTATCTTTAGTTCTTTCACGGTTTTATTATTTATTTTTCGATACAATTTTTTGTATAGGTGTAAATCGAGCGGGTTCGGGGCGGGGTTGAGTTCAAACGGATTACAGGTTCATCGTGTTGCGGGTCAAGCGGGTTCGGCTTGATTGGGTTGCGAGTTGTTCGGATTGCAGGCAAATTGGGTTCAGATTGATCGGATTGTGGGTTACCCAAATTACGAACAAGTCGGTTTGCGGGTTGTTAGGTCCAAACCATAGAGTTATTTTTTTAAATAATTAATTATTATATTAATTCAAAATCGTCAATTTAAAACAAACAGGAGCTGAAAACAACATGGGAGGAGAGGCAAGTTTTTTCCCTCGTTAACTAACGTCAATTGAGTAAAAATAAAAGAATAGTTTATAGTTAATATATATATATATGGGTTAATACCCTCGTTTGGCACGAAGTATAGCGTTAGTGACATTTCTGGCCCAAGTTTTCAAATAAGACATCTCTGGCCCACTTTTCAAATTATCGGACGAATTTGGCCTCTGGGACGGGTTGACTGTCAGATTTGACGATCAACAATGTTCTCCGTTGCTGACTCAGCATTCGACTCTGACGTGGCTTGTCCACGTCAGATATTTTTATTTCCCTTTTTATGAACATTTCTAAGTCATTAAGTTAAAATAATATATATATATATAAACAAAACTAAAAGGGAAAGGTGGAGACCAGGTCCACCACACACATTTCTTCCCCTACCTCTTCCTCTTCCTCTTCCTTGACGCCTCAACCGACCACCACAACCGCCACCTTCGCCAGCGGGGCCACGACGAGCTCCAACACTGCTACCTCCGCTTCCACCGCCGACCCGATGCACTCTTGGTGGGAATCCATCTCCAGAGCACGCTCCCGCATTCTCGCTCTGAACTCCCTCCTTGCTCCCGATCCTTCATCTTCTTTCTCCCTCTCTTCTCTGGCAGATTCCGACCAGCCGGCGCTCTCCTTTCTATCGTCCCTCGACGCTTACTCTCTCTTCTCCTCTGCGATTTCGATTCCTTCTTCAGGGTCGGGATCCGATCCTTTCTGCCAGTGGCTGTACGAAACCTACCTTTCTGCCGATCCTCACCTTCGTCTTATCGTTCTCTCCATTGTTCGCCTTCTGACCGGAATTTATCTCTCCCGGATCCACTCCTTGGAATCAACTTCCGCTCCTTCTCTCGCTGGTTTGGAAGCCGTCCTCCTTGCTATCTACTCGGCAGAGGTGAAATCTCGGGCTGGGAAGCCTGTTCTGGCCCAGATTCCAGATCTCTCGCAGCCGTCTTTGTATCACAGTCCTCGGAACAGACAGCAAAGACCGACCAAGAGATGGGTTAGTTGTGGTGGTCGATTGAGGCGTCAAGGAAGAGGAAGAGGAAGAGGTAGGGGAAGAAATATGTGTGGTGGACCTGGTCTCCACCTTTCCCTTTTAGTTTTGTTTATATTTTTTTTTAACTTAATGACTTAGAAATGTTCATAAAAAGGGAAATAAAAATAAATGACGTGGACAAGCCACGTCAGAGTCGAATG